ATGTTTAAATAAATAAATAAATAAATAAATAAATAAATAAATAAATAAATAAATAAATGCAATGAAGCTAGCAAAGAAGAAATACATCTGTTCTTCTTTACCTAAGGCATGTATTGTGCACGTGATCCCTTACTCATAGATGTTTGTGGGGCCTTTTAATGACATCACCTTTATCTAGGGCCTTCCCTTGGTTTTCCAGCCATTCTTGGAGGGTGGGAAAGAGAGTTTGGAGGAAGGAAAGTGAAGTATTACATTTCAAATTGGAAGAAACTGGAAAGAAATAACTTTGTGTAAATTCTGCCATACTGTGGCTTATACCACAGCGGTGCCCTGTGACTAGTTAACAGCAAATATGGAAAAGCAGAGAAATAAAATGCAGGAGAGAGAAAAACTGCATTAAAGGTTAACTGCACCTTTCCTTCTGCAGTGAAAATGGAAAAAGCAGCTTCAGTAAAGTCACAGGTTAAAGTCCTCATGAAGAAAATTCCTGACTTTGGTGGAGTTCTTAAGACCACATGAATGTTGATTGGTTTGGGGTAGTAGCAAGAGTTGCTTCTTCACAAATTAGTGCTATTACTCAGGGCGTTTCCTCCATATGCAACTTTTGTGATTGTATATCACAAAGTACCCATTCATATCTAGTGATTTCTTATCTGAAAGGAAATGCCATACTCTCTGGGAAGGCCCCAGTGGGGTAGCCATGTAAACCTACTGCAGGATAAACAACAGAGTTCTGTGGCACCTTAAAGATTTAACAAGACATGAGGTTTAACAATTTTATCTGGCACAAGTGCCTGTGGACTAAAGTCAATTTCATCAGATCTCAAGGAAGTGGAGAGCTCATAACAATACACAAGTTTTCCCTTCTCATTCTGTGCAACCGTTGTGTAATATCTGGTGTTTCTTCACACTGAGCAGCTCCAGTAAACATTGCCTCATTGGTCTCAGCTGCAATGTAACCATCAATTTATTTTGGCTTATTCTTTGTAAAAGTACATTTGAGTACAAATAGTAAGTACCCTGTTGGCTCAACCAGCATTGCAGCTGAAAGCAGCTGCTATAAGAGTTTTAACAATTCTTACAATTGGACCATGAACACAAACTCAAGTCTTCCTATTTTGTAAAGATAATTTATATTGGTTAACTTGAATAATAGCACCCCTTAAACAGAAATTGTGGTGATTCATTTAGAGATTTTAATACCCCAACCAACTGAGATATTAAGTAATTTATGAAGTTATCTGATTATTTTAAGATACTGTGTTGTGTGGAGAAAAATAAAAGTGCATCAGGAAATAGCATATATTATTTTTATTACTTTTCAATTTCTGTACTGCCCCAGAGTTTACACAGTCCAGATTTGCTTCTGTATAAAAACAATTTTGCGTGCACACACACACAATTTCAACTAGTGTTGTTTTTTCTCATAGCATTTTATTTTATTTTGAAATTGAGTTAGCAAAATAATGGCTGCAAGAAGAATATACATAATAAATCAAGATTGCTAAAGAAGCAATAGAATTAACTAATTACAATTCCTAGTCTATAGTCAATATACTTAGGAAATATACACAGTAAAATTGCTTTAGCAGGAGCTCAATAACTAATGAAGGTGTAAAAATGCAGTTTATAAAGCATACAGAAGGAACATGCATGTGTTTGTGCTTTTCTGTGTGCATGCATTTATTAGCCAGAAAAAATACAGGCAATTATACTTGACTGGAATGATATTGTCCTATTTGACCTGGTACATATTTGCAAAACAAATTGAATACACAATTTTACTAAAGAAAGTCAAAAGTAAAGATTACATACAAATTTGTATGGAATCAATCTGTTTATATGGAATTTGAATAGTATGAGAGGGATTAGAACATCTGATTTATCATTTTGCTGATTTCTGTTTCTGCCATGCAGCCTCTTTTCTGACTTCCTGTAAATGAATTTAATTTAGGATCAGGAGGATGGAACTACTTATCACAGTTGTTGGGCTACCACAATAATATGTACCTGATAAAAGCCAGTACAGCCAAGGTTCAATTTGGATGCCAGGAAGTACTTCCGGACAGTTAGGATTCCTAGGGTTTGGAATGGGCTTCCATGGGAGGTGGTTGAAGCCCCATTGGTGAGGCTGTTCAAGGATAGGCTAGACATGCACATGGTAGCCATGTAATGAGTGGAGCTGGCTGGAGCCGGGGGTCAGACTAGATGGCCCAGAAGACCCCTTCTGACTCGCTCAGCTTCTATATTTCTAACATACAATGTTGTGAAAATAAAGTGAAGTAACAGTATTGCCAACAAATGGGCTCAACCTCACTTCCAAACTGCAACTAAGATTAAAGCTCCCACCCATTGGTGAAAACACACTGCTGCGGACAAGGATGGTGCACTAGCAGAACATTATCACCCATTTGCTTTGATAAGCTTACAGCAAGAATAAATATCTTTTCCTAATCACAACCTAGTCTGAACCTCATGGTTATTTTCAGAAGTTCTTCTTTGTCTTCTGAAGCAGGTATATGCTTGACCAGAAGATGATCCTTCTCAGTTGTCATATTGGGAATACCTGCTAGATCTGAATACCTTTCGATGCCGGGAGGTTTCCGACTTTTCCCTTGCCAGCAACACCCTTCTTTTCTTTGATCCCATTGAGTCTGGGGCACTCCGTGTTTGTGTGGCTGGTTAGGTTGTACAGCCGAATACATGTGTTCAGGACCCCAAAACCTGGCTCATGAGCCAACTGCTCACTGGATCCACTCATCCATTCCAACTAGAATTGTCAATCCTTCTTGCTTGGGTTCCAACATGGAACTAGGCTAGTATAATGAGCAGGTGTCTCCCTTCCTCTTTCCCTCTTCAGCAAACTTCTGATGAGACTTTGGAAGCACGGTTCATTTATTAAAACATAGCAGATAACAGAACTGTATACATCAAAGTAGCATTCTTCTTGAGATGTGGGAGAAGCATCTGCCCATGTAAAGAGCTGGATCTAAACGGAAGCTAAGCCTCCTTCCTTTCCTTTCATTAAAGTCTCTGACCCTACCCTCAGGGTGGCTCTTCCTGCTTGTGGGCGAGACATGGGAATGCCACACACTTCTCAGTTGGTCCAGTCATTTGGCCTGTTAACTCCTTCCAATTGCTTCCTCCTCCAGCTCTGAAACATCTCTCTCCTTTTCCAAGGTGGGCTGGTGCCCTTGCTTTGCCTGAGAACCTCCACTTGAACGGCCAAATTATCTGCCCACCATTGTCCTTCTGCCTCCTTCACAGAATCAGCTGAGTCTATCTGAGCAGGGCCCCCTCTTCACAGCTAGGTTTCTTCAAGCAAAGTCACTCAGTGTCAGACTGGCTCATATACTCAGCAGCCTGCCAACACAACTGTGTGTCATTTTGGAAAGTAAAGACAAATTCAGGCCAATGTAATGTTTTCATATTGCAAATCTCAACCTTTAGTATCTTTGGGAAAACATAAAGAAGACAGCAAATATTAGATTGGAACCAGGAGTTCCTGGTGGATGTACTTGCACTTTTAAAAGATATATATGCATTTCCCTTTCAAAAGTGTGTGTTCAGCATTAACAATCCATACTGATTCACTAGCTCAAAAGTGACCATATGCTTCCATGCTCAGAATGTAATGACTGAATTGAGAGAAATTAGGTCAGAGGAAGTTAAATTAATAGAATCCTTCATCTTTCATATTCATTGAAAGAAGACATCAGCCCTAATTTCCTGCATGCATTTGCAGCTTGTAGCCTTCGATACTAAATGCCATAATGGCTGGAAACACACCCAGTAAGGTATCAGTGTATCTTCAGCAGACTTCTTCGGTAACCAAAGCGCAAGCCTGCTTCTCTGGAAGAGAGCCCCTATGTCAGGGCTAGGTGGCAGATACGCATTGGCAAACATGTTACATGGGGTTGTGCAACATCTTTTCTCAACAAGGTCAGTGCCCAGACTACTTCCAGCCTTTACAGAACTGTGCTACAAAAAATATCCAGCTTAAATGTTTGATCATACTTTATTTCTTTTTAAAAGAACGGTTTTCTGTCAATTGGGAGGTTTCAGATTCCAAATGAATTGGGGCAGCATCGCTCAGTCTGTGTTTTTGGTCAACTGGCCTTTGAGACAAACTTTTCTTCCACGACACGGAAGGTCAAACGGCTCTCATGTCACAATAACACACCCAGACTGTCACATTCCCACGCAGCCCACCTCTGTCCATTGCCAACGCGTTTTCGTGCACTCCTCACGCTTGACTTAAACCTCGAGCTCTGAGATATCACGTCCTCCTCGTTTGTAAGCACAGGTCACGTTTTCCACGCGGGTAATCTCTCCCCTCGCTCCACACATTCGTGCACGGCGAGGTTTTAAACTACCTGGTGGTCTGCGTAAGGATTTGTGTTTGTGTCTGTGTGCGTAAGCTCTGCGAGCCCCGCGGCTGACGTAGAAGCGACGCCCCCGAAGCAGGCTCTGTGTTATTCTTGCAGCCTTGGGACGGTGGGTGGGGACGAGGCGGGGCGCGCGCGGGCGCGGGCGGGCGCGCGCGCGCTGCTGCCCCGCTGCGCTGCTTTTGGACCCTCGTCCCAGCACCCTGCCCGCCTGTGATGTCAGTCCGGCAGCACCACTACACATTGCCGAGCTTGTTTAACGGTGTGGAAGCCAGTAAGAGGCTGCGGGGAACGGAGTCTCCACCTTAATTCTGCCCTCTCTTGCGCTCCATTGGGCAATTACGTAAATGTCAGCAGCCTTCTCTTTCCTCTTCCTCCTCCTCTTCCCCCCCCCTTCGCCCAGTTATGCAATAGCCAACGCATACATCTACTGTACCACACGCACAGTTCCAACAGGGCGGGGGAAGCGTAAGGAGAGCGCAGGGGTGGGAGGGAGAGGAGAGGAGAAGGGCGGGGGAAGGGGTTCAATTCAAGTCTGGTCCTGCCCTTGCCTCTTCCCTACTGGAGGCCTCCATTGGCTGCTCCCGGAGAAGCGCTGGGCTCTGATTGGGACCGAGCAACCGCCAGTCATCAGCAAGGCTGGCATGAGGATTGTACGTTGTGAGGAGTGTACAGTATTGACCTACTAACACAGATCTCTCACCAGCGGCGGCGGCTGCATTAGCAGCAAAGCATTAGCAGCGACGGCTGAAGACACACGCTCTGCTCCGCCTGGCGCAGTCACTCTCTCTCTTTCTTCCTCTCTCTCTCCTCCACCTCCTCTCCCGGGAACTGCTTTGGGCTCTTGCGGGGAAAAGGCAGCAGGAGCGGCGCTGCCACTGACAAGCGGTCTTTCAGAGGGTCTCCCCCGCCTCCAGGCTTTACAGTCCTGAGCCCTTTCCACCTCTCGGCCCGCGCTCCCTTCCAAAGTAATCAGCCGGAGAAGGCAGCGCGCCGTTGTCCAAAGGATCTTCCGGAAGATACAGCACTATCGCCCGCCACCGAAGGAGATTGCCGAGGTATAGACCTTCCGTAGCGGAACTGTACGTTCCTATCCTTCCTATCCTGCGGAGGTCCTTTCTCCATCTGTCTTCCTTTCGGACGATTCTCTGTCTTCGCGTGTTTAGGACCCCTCCCCCGCTTTAAAGAAATATGCGTGAGCTAGCTAGATCTTTATATGTGCCTGTCTTTAAAAATGCACATTAGCGTGCATCCCTTTCTACATCTGTCTAGTAACTTTTTTCACCCTTTGGCACGTCAGCACTCGAGACTCGCCACCTTAAGGTGGTTGCTTTGATTGCAGCGCCCCTCGACTCGGAGCGCAGGCAGTGGCGGCGGCTGCCGCTCGGTTGCTGGCTCTTGTTGGCTTTTACATTGTCGTTGCATAATATGTCGCCTTGTTTGAGGAAAATTGATGTGTTGGAGAAGAGCGATGGGGGGAGTGATCCTGACACGGAGCATTCCCGCCTGGGTTGCTCGTGCGAGTCGGTGTGGTGGCAAAGGAGATGAATAAGAAAGAGCTGGTATTTTGTGTTCTCATGGGGAGACGGGTGGGATCGGCTAAAGACGAATTGGATCGTGGGGAAAAGAATTAGAAAAATGTCAGTCGGCGAGTTGCATGCGTTTTAGAAGAGTTCTTCTAAACATACACGTCTCTCTCTCTTCACCCCCCCCCACCGCTTTTTACGAATGCCATAACAGGCGGAGGGGAGGTTGGTGGGGCTGATTATTTCATATATTGCATAATCCGTCCGCTGTGAATTATTGGCAAGCGTTAATATGGGACGTGAGTGTGCAATGCTTTGGTAATTTTGGTGCAGCAGTAGGGAATTCTGTCACTACTTACACATCACACCCATTCTGGATATTTTACGGGAAAACATACTTTACCCCCCTCCCCATGGCTGCACTCGAGATCCCCCCCATTCCAGAATTCTACTTTTAAACAGCCATAAAAAGAATACACGTAACCCGTCTTGATTCTCCACGGGCTTTTTGGTTGTATGTTAGTGTGTGTTTAATACTGTTTTTTTGCTCATATTGGCAACTGATTTTCAGGCGATGCGTTTCCTGAAGGTTCCTGGAAATGTTGCATTATGTAACCACAGAATTTGCTGGCAGTCAGGCTAGGAAGCTAATTACGCGATTTTATAAATCTCACCGCAAAGAAACTAGAGCAATCTCGGCCTTAGCAATGGCAGGCGAACAGATTTCCGAAGTCGTTCCTCATGCACCCCCCTCCCGTCCGCCTCGCCCCCTCGAGAAAAGTGGATCTCTGGTAAAGTGGGGAAGTAGCTCGGCTTGTTGAATGAGTGCCAGATCCCTTAAAATGAAAATTGCACACGGCTATATTTAGCTCTATCGCATTTGAGCAATTGTGGCTTCATGGGCTATTTCTGGTCTTTTCTCCAGAGCTGTGCAAATAGACGTTCAAGGACACTTGCTTGCGTTTGGAACTCCACGCCTTCGGAGACGTTTTGATAAGGCTCGTATTTTTAGGAAGGCATTTCGCCCAGACACCAAGTGGTTTGGTAGGTGTTGGCTTTCGTGTATGATCCCCTTCTCTTCGCTCTCTGCAAAAGACAAGGGGGGGAGGGAGACCCTTTAAGAGATGGTTCCGCATTTCGGGAAAAGTGAGTGTCTATCATCTTATCCCTCTGCAATTGTAAAGAAGACTGACAAAGTCAAGCTGACGCTGAGGGTGAAGGCGAGCAGGCTTTTGTATTCGCATTTGTTATCGTCCCTGTAGCATATTTTTAAAAGCCTTCATCTAGGTCAGTATTACATGTCAAGAGGCCATAATTCTAATGTGTGATCGTAATACACGTTACGCGTGAAGTCTCTCCCTCTCCAGATTTTTTTGCCCTTACTTCTGCAAAGATCAAACCCTTTGCGCCGGGAGTCTTTTTTTTGGGGGGGGGGGCGGCCGCCGCGGGGGCGCGAGCGCGCGCGGGGGGGGGATAACCTGATCCAGAAGGCTGCTGTGTGTAGGGGGGAGGGGCGGACCCAGAATCGGATTCCAACATCTGTTTATTTTTGATCGCTGTGCTCCGGGTGGCTCTTCCAGTGTGTGTGCGCGCGCGCCCGTGCATGGGGTGGGGGCGGGAGGCGTTAATGACACCCCGAGCTCTTTCCCAGATTTACAATGTGGCATTTCGACCCCTCATTATCGGTCTAGCTAGCCGGTGCATAAACGAGGAGAGGGAGCCGCGAGGGAGGCGGCGGCATGACGAATATTGAGCCAGCCAGCATGGGATGCCAGGGAGCGTCTTTCTTTCCCGGGGCAACCGGATCTTGCGCTCCCGTGGCGGAGGGCGGCGGGCCGGAGCGCGCCCTCCGAGGAGGCTCGCTGGCAGCCTTAGGCGGGGGTTGTTATGACTGGGGAAGGAGCGCGCGCTGGAATGGGCTGGAAGGCGCCGCGCCGCGCTTCGCATTCCTTTGTTCTGCGGAGGGGAAGAAGCGGGCGAGCGAGCGAGGAAGGGAGACGAGGCAGCGCTCCAGCGGCGCTGGGCCGGGCCGGGCCGGGCCGGCCGGGGGGAGAGGGCGAGGGAGACGGGCCGCCCCGCGCAGCGCAGGCGAGGGGAGTAAATAAGAGCGGCGAACAGTTGTTTTGCACTGGCGGGGAGCGAGAGCAGAACAAGCTGGCCGGAGGGAGGGATGCGTCTCCAGTCACGTAGCGTGTGTACTCGCGCCGCTCCACGCGGGGGTGAGCGAGGAGGGAGGCCGAGCGCTCCCGCGGTTCTCCCTGCCCGCCGTCCCTCCCCCGGGCTCTCGCCCTGCTCGCTTGGCTCGGGCACGGGGCTGCGCCAGGGCGGGCGGGCGGGCGGGCGGCTCTCACGCTCTCCGCCCAGCCCGCCGAGGGACTCGGCCTCTTTGTGCCTCGCTCGGGCAGCCTGGAATGCTGCCTCCGCTCGCGGCCCAGCTGGCTGGCGACGGGACCTCTCCCGGCATTTGCATGCCTTCGCTTTGCACGCTGCCAAGCCTGGGTCGCTTGTTCTGTCCTTTTCTTTATTTGTAAATGGAAGCTGGGAGGGCATGGAAAAAAAATACTGCCCCGACTCCGTGCAGAGGGGAATGAGGAGTTGCTTCTGGAAAGGCACTAGCTGAATTGTTCGCACTGCCCCCCAGGCCCAAAGCTTTCACCAGAGGTCAAGCGTGCCTGTTTGGCTGCGGGAGTTAATTCCTGTAAGGTAGCATTTCCCAAGCTGGTGACCCCCCAGTTGGTTTGGATGACAACCCCCCGCATTCTTAACCATAGGCCATGCTGGTAGGGGCTGCTAGGCACTGACATCCAAAACATCTGGAAGGCACCAGGTTAAGGGGCGATCCTTTATGCATGCTTACTTGAGGGAGAAAAGTAGTCTGTGGGCCTTACTCCCAAGTAAGTATGCAGGGATTACAGCCTTATTCTCACAGATGAATTCCAAAGGACTAGACCCTAAACTTGAAAGCAACCATTAGCTATACTAGTAATAGCTTTTATGACTCAAAAATATCATATGACATTTTAGTAACAGAAAATTACTCTAGTGACAAATGTTTGCACAATCAACCCTAACTAATTACCTCAGGTGATACCTCCCAGGTAATATTAACTCCTATAGCTTCCAAGTATCTATTACCACATAAGGGGCAGAAAATAACTATTCGATGGCAGTTTATTAGCTATATAAATGGAAAATTACACTAGCACTATACCCAGAATGTTTGGTTTATATACCCTTTAATGCATTTCTGTTAGCACATTACAACTGATTAGAAAATGTCTGGATTATCTTCTCTTCCATTTTTTGATTCTGCCTTATATTGTAAGAATTCTGGGAAGTTTTCATTTATTGTGAATTCCCTGATTTTGCTGAAAATATGGCACTGTTGATAACCTTGTAAAGAAGTTTAAGAAGTACTGACTTATTAAAATGCTTTGCCATTTATGTCTTTGAGCTGATCCACAGCCCACTGAAACTGAGTAGGCAGCATCAGTGCTGATTTCATTGTGTTTGTGCCAACACATGGGCTACACTTCTGAGTCAGTCACCCAAATAATGACATTGAAACAAATGACAATATGTTGTTATTTAAAAGTATACCTTTTTTGTTTGCCCTTAAGGATTACTTTTTTCCTTGGTACGATGAGAGAGAAAATGTGACTCTCTCAGTATCATGCCATTATGGTTGCAGTTACATTATTTTTAAAAGAGAGCAAAATGCTTTACATGTGGAACTTCATGAAATTTACAATTGTGACATTCCCAGTAAATATGCATTTATCCGAAGTCAGTAAACCAGATCTTAGTGGTTCATAATGTTCATGTGTTCTCAGGAAAGCAATGAAATAGCAAAGCAGCAGCAAGAGATTGAAGGATGGAGGTTTGCAAGGCAAGGAACTTATACATGTGCCACATAAACTGTTCAAGAGACAAGATTGTGAAGATTTTTCACATTGGCTTGAAACAATGGCCAACCCTATATTGGTTTGGGAAAGACATGTGACAGTTTCTGATCCCTATTCAAGGTTTGTGAATGGCCTGAGGTAACAAAAGGTCTTTGTCATGGTACTTCTCAGAACTCTTGAATTTAAATTGTAGTCCCTTACATTGTCATTATGTCACATATTTTCTAATGTTCACTGGATAAACATAAGGATCACTTCTGAGAAAATGCTTAAAAACACTTTTGGTACTATAAACTAAAAAAAAAAAAAAGATTGGCAGCTCCCACCCCAATATTTTGCTATCACAAGGTGGCAAAATATTTCCATGGTATAGCTATGTGGAGATGCAGCTATGGCTTGTTTCTTAAATGTTAATCAACTAAGTTGACAGCCAACTGTGAACGTTAATTTCTTACAAGGTAGTTTAGTGTCACGGTACAGAATTTTCTTATTACCAATCTGCCACTGCTATACTGCTCTATAGCCCATAGGATCTCTGGGTAGTTTACAAATTTAAAAGACATATAAGCAACCAGTAAACTAACCATATTTAAATAAAACAATAAACAATAACATCAATACAACAAGATCAACAACTCACAGTAACTATAA